TATTTTCTTTAAAAATATTTTAAAATTACTATATTACGATTTATATTAAACTTTGTTATTTTATTCACCCTTATGTTTTAGACAATGAAATTGCTCAATGGCATAATACATTCGTACATAAATTAAAAATTAAACAAATATAACATATTATAAAATAGAAATCATGAATAAAATTATGAATTTAGTTAAACTCAAAATCTAATTTATTTGTAAATTGTAAATCCTAATTCTCCTTTATGAACCCAAACTGAGAAATAACCTTGTTTAATTGTTAAACCTAAATCTCACTCATCTTTAATAAACCCAAACCGATAAATAATCTCGTTTAATAATAAAATCTAAACTATAATGCACATTTATAAACTCAACATATAACCCTTATAATTGTAAAACCTACAACTCGCAAAACCAAAAATTAGGTTAATAGTTAAAAGAGAATTTTTGAGAAATACCCCTTTTGGTGTACCTCTTTTTAAAAATACACCAATTTTCTATCCATTTTAAAAATATCCCTTTTCAAATATGAAAAACTGTCAACTTTTATATAGTTTATAAGGTACATCTAGATCATCATTACTATTGGGAGACTCAATACAAATATTTATAAAGTTTTAAAAAGGTTTTAAACGGCATTTATAAGACTTTTATAAGGTTTTTATAAGATTTACAAAGTTTTTATATGTTTTTTAAATAATTTTAAAAGGTTTTTAAAAGGTATTTATATGGTATTTAAAATTTACACAAATAGAAAGATAATTTGTGTCTAAATATATAAGCTTACGCTTTTTTTATATAAATTTCAATTTTTTTACTTTTTAATTTATCAAAAATATCCTTTTTCCATACCACTTTTTAAAAATACCCCTATTTCAAACTTTATAAAAAAACAACTATAAATATTAAAATTTATCCAAATATGTGTGTAAACTTATAAATATACACACAAATTACCTTTATATATGTTAAAATTTTTATATATCTTTCATAAATAGCGTAAAATAACTTATAAATACCTTTTAAAAACCTTATAAACCCTTTTTAAAACCACTTAAAAACCTTATAAAACTTGTAAAAACGATTCAGAATCTTTTAAAACATTATAAAATATTTGTATCAAATTTCCAAGTAGTAGTTATTATATAAAAGTGCCTTATAAACCATATAAAACTTTAAAATTTTTCATATTTAAACATGGATATTTTTGAAAATGGATAGATAAATGAGGTATTTTTGAAAAGTGATACACCAAAAGGGATATTTCTCAAAAATTCTCTTTCATTTTTTATAATTATTTTTTAATGTTGTTTAAAAAATCTATTTGTATCTTAATATTAACAAAATTAGATATACCATATTGCA